CCATCCAAGAAAGCCAAACAGTTTTGAAGTGCCGTTTGATTTGCAAAAGAAAAAAAACAATCATGTAGCACACCAGCGCCTCTATCCATCACCAAGGAAACTTGTATTTATTTATTTGGATGTAGATGTAGAAATGACAGAGAAAGGAATGATATGTCACCAGGATGTCCAGTTTGTAGATAAGGAATGTTTGCTACAAGCCTGTGGAGTCCAGCAGAGTGTTTACTTTGCATTTCTCGTGGCAACAGTTGTCTTTTTCATGTCCAAAGTTGGGAATCTGTGAAACTGAATCCCCTCTGCTGTAGGGTGCAGAGCTCTACCTCTACCTGCCATGCTGCTTTGACACCTCCAGCTTTACAGTGTAACAATATGTACATGCTTGATTATTAATAGATCTTTGTGATGCACACTGACCTTTTCCTCACAAAACACTTAGGACTTCTAAACTATTTAGTGGCACTTGATCTCTGTTTGCTTTAAAAGTGCACTGTTTCCATCCATTGCATTGGACAGAAGGTACCTACAGTAAGCTCCACATCTGTCCAGCTGTTTTGCCTCTGCACATCACTAAAACTTTTGCCTGTGATCACTGAGCTAGGAGACAGATAGGTGTGTTTTACTTCTGAAAGTAGGCACCACCCCTGTTGGTTCACTTCAAGAGACCTGAAACACAATGTGGTTACACAGTTAGATGGCTTTATGTTCAGCAGCATCTAATATTTTTCAGCTTTTTCACCTCAGGCGGCTGTGGTTTGGATAGTAAGTTGCTATGAAACCATGTGTTTAAATGATAACAGTAAATAAATACACGTGCATTCAGTTCTCATAAAGGACAGGCCCACATAAAATTCAGTGTTTACAGTTTAAATTTGAACCCAGATTTAACCTAACTAAATGCATGATTTATTTGAGGCATGTTGCATGTTTGTCGTTTATCTAACCAACCTCATACTGATCTGTCCATTCAGCATCTCTCAGTCATATTAAATCTCTGTGAGCATTTATGAAAATGATATGAGCTATATCTGAGCTTGATGCACAGTGACAGCTCCCCCTCCTCCTCAGACCTACAGTATAACAGATGTTCTCCTGGCATCACATACTGTGACTAAGTGAAAATGACGAATGCTGTACATGGAGTCTGCAATTATTTAAAGATACAGGTACAAAGTCTTAGATACTGTATAACAGCCAGTCTTATATATGTTCTTCTCCCTGGTTACTGTCAGGAAATAAGACTTTTTCTTGATTTCTTTACAGTGAGTTGATAATAAAACAGAAAATGTAAATGGCACTTGTGGTTAGGGCAGTTTGTTTTGATTCCCCTGTAAAACAACCACAGTGTCACCGATCTTGTAGCTATCACAACAGCGTCACCTTTTCAAACTGACCACCGTGGAACATCAAGACGTAGGACCTGCAGCGTGCATATGTGCAAATCAGTGAGTAAGTATCAGCAAATTGGGTGTTGATTTCAACTGTGGTTAACATACTTTCTGGTGCTTTTAAAATCTTTTGGCAAGTAAACTGTGTGTCTGAACTCATACAACATACGATGTAGTGGATGCATCGTTTACATGGTCATACCTATAACCTGTAGCTGTCCGGAAGGTGTACTTTTTATTTATTTTTTATTTATTTTGCTGCATGACGAATGTAGAGGCCGGCAGGTAGCGGAAGAAGCTGCTCAGAGGAAATGTACTTGCCACACAGGGGCTCGGCTTCTTGAACACAGTGAAATTTCTGCAGCCCGTGGGTGTTGGATCAATTTTTTGTAATTAGCTGTTGGCGTTGTGGGAGATCCTCGTGCGTGTTGTGCGTGTATGTGTACATGCACACGCCCCCGCAACCCCCTCTCCACCCCCCAGCGTTTTTTTCCCTTAAATAGTAGTTTTGTGTGAGGTCAGTCCTTTAATGGGGAAGTGAAGTTGATATGATGAAACAGCAGCTCGCTGCAGACTGACTGCAGCCGAGCGGAGAGCGATGGAGAGAGCAGGAGGAAAGGCAGATAAGACGGAGGGAGAGCAGCAGAAAAGAGCAAAAGAGACGAGGGGAAAGTGAAGGAGAAATTAGTACAAAGGAAGTGAGAGAAACATGAAACAGATTGTGCCATCTTGTCTAGAACTGTAATGATGGGAGAATGAGAAGACAAGTTTGAAAGCAACCAGTTTAGAGCACTGGGTCAGAGTGGGGTTCTTGCGTTCCCTTATGGCTTGGTCCAGTGTTTCAAAC